AATGGGTGCTACTTAACAGCGCTGTTAGTTGTATCGATAACAGAAACAACAAAAATTCTCAATATGTGTTTACCAGAGACAACTAAATGACGAGAGATGTTGCTCAAAATTCACACTAGAAGATTGTTACGGACTTTTTATATTTCAATAGCAGTAGTAACTCTGTTAATTAGCAGCAATGCTCGTTCCTTGCTTGTTCATTCTCATTACTTGTATCAGCAAACACGCTTTATATAACATCGCATTCTCTCGAACGTTTGAAAAGCAAAAGTACACACAATTCTGTGTTTGGATGGGAATATTTATTATGGGTTGCATGTATAATATGCTATGGGTTATATGTAAAAATGTATGCACGAAAAAAAGCAAAAAGTAGTTATGTATGTAACAATTATATTTTAGTTTCCTTTTGTAGACTCCTCGGCTATTTAGTATATAAAGTGTATATAGTAGTATAGTAAACATTGTTATAAGATATTCTTAAACCCAGAAATATATCTCTGGAGTAAAGTGGACACAAACAGCTATTAATACGAATGTTGACAGTGATCAACTGTTGTTTCGCAATTGTGTCGAATACTACGAAAAAGAAAACTGCAGTTATTGTACATATGTAACAGTGATCACGAATTTTACTTGAAACCGAGTGTACGTGAACGAGTGTATTCACTCACATTTGATCAAATTTTCTGAATATATATATTCTGAAAATATAATATAAACAAGTAAAACAGTTATATTCGACGGGAAGTGAATCTCTCTTACCCGCCACTATGCTTTGCGCGATCCACTCTCCAAGTTCTTTTATTTGAATCCCATATCGCTGGTATTATTAAAAAAAAATTAGGCGCAGTGTCTATCATGTTCATTTTAAAATTAACCCATTTTTAGGCAGATAATATACCTTCATTTGAGAAGTGTACTAAATAGTTTTAAACATTCGGTCTTGTGTGCCTTATGATAAATAAGCATAAGACCGTAAAAAAAAGTGAAAAAAATAAAATTTTATCATTGGTAACTTTGTGTGCGCATTCTGGGCCAATTTTTTCGATTTTTGCACATGAAGGGTAGAGTGCTTAGCGGAGTGAAAGTGGAAAATTTTAGCTTTCTAACTTTAATTATTTTCGAGTAACGAGCAAAAATCCGAAAATTTTTGTTTAAAAAAACTTATTTGCATTCAGTTTACACTCCACTGCGCGCTTCTGCTCCGAACGCTTTTGCCCCTTTTTCAGCAACAACCTGCGTGCAAATACTTTCAATGTTTCGACCAAATTTGAAGTCGGTATCTTCATTTTTGCGAAAAGGAAAGTGCCGACAACACATAACACATCAGACGGACAGACATGGCTAAATAAACTCAGAATTTCACCCTGATCAAGAATATATATATATATATATATATATATATATATGTCTCTGAAGCTTCCTTTTGGATGGAAAAACATTTGGAAAAAGCATTACGGAAAAAACAAAATGAGTGTATGTATCCTATGCTACAGTGGTGGGTATCAAAAGAATAGTAATAATAATAAAAAAAATAATAATAACGGCAAAAGCTCTGTAAGAGTTCTATATGAACAGAACAGAAAATTAAATTTTATAACAGAAAAAGATTGCTATGTCCAACAGTAGTATGCATCAAAAAACTTTTACTCTCAAAAAGACATTGTTACTCTCAAAAACGGGTTCCATAAGAACACACAGCAAAGTAAATTTTACTCTCAAAAGGAAACCTGTAAGAATGCACAGCAAAGTGAATTTTATTCTCAAAAAGACATCGTTACTCTCAAAAATAAATGCATATTTTACACTCAAAAAGACAAATTTGAAACAAAACAAAACATATTCATACATACATGTATATTTTGATAATGTTTCTTAAAAAATTACATATATTTTACATAATATAATACAATGTATTAAATAAATATATAAATAATTAATTTGGCATTTTCTTAATAATTAATTTTATATTTTAAATTTTTTTTACATTTAAAATTAATCACAACATTTCAATCTTGCATTTATCCCATTCTTTCTTCTATTATGACCATAAATCAAAGCATCGAGCGTTTAAGATTTTAATGGCGGTCGGTATCCGAGATTCGGCCTCAGCCGAATATCATTAACTTTCTTACTTGCTGGTATTAACAGTAAAGTGATAATGTAATATTGTTTCACTTATATAAAACAATCCTGCAATCCTTCTGGCCAGGATAAAAAAAGGATTATGTTATTTGCGGATCTTTTCGCCCAAGATTTATATTTTTAATGTCATATTATGAATATTATGAAAAAAAAATCTACAAACATACTGCCCTCCAAACCTACTAAAGCTATGAAAATATTTCAAAATAACTATGCATTCTCACAGCAACTGACATTTCTCCATTCAATAATTCTTTACATCGCTTCAACTTCAACAAGGCTCAAAAGGCTCTCTTAAGGCTGAACGAAATACTATCTACCTCTCTACTTTCAAAAAAAAAAACCGCCTACATTCTCTCAAAATCACTATATATATGTGATTATTAATAATTGCCGAATAGATAAAATTATATAAAAATGAATGCAATGTAATGCAAAAAATATATGAGAAATGACCGGATTTGATATTAATGACATCTGATGCAGGAATATAGTTAGTTGCTTTACGATATCTACGAAGCTACCTTGTTAAGTGTTGCAAACATTTTGATGAAATGAGTATAATCCTCAGCTTTAGCTAATCACGCTAACATGTCTTCCGTGTTTTGCGGTTGTTGTTGTTGTTTTTGTTTTTGTTGTTGTTATTGCTCCTACAGTCTCAGTCGATTCACAGTCAGTTCAGTCAATTCAGTCAGTCATTCGAATTTTTCTCTTTGAACGATGAGGATGTGTAAATTTGTTTGTCGCGAGAAGTTTGTGCGATTTTTACGAAATAAACGAAATAAAATACGTAATATTAATATATCAGAAAGTTTCGAAAACTTATAATGCATTTGAAATTGTTCTCGGAAAAAAGCCGCAAAAAAGCCATTAAAAGCCGATAAAATTTATAATAAAAAGGAAGCAATATAATTGTACAATGCCCTATTGCAAGGCAAATTAATTAATAATGATATTAACAAATCCTAAACCTAAAAGAAGTCCATTCGCTTCTTTCGATCAAAGTTTTAGGTGACGCTAAACATTTTGTAACAAAATTTCAAAGGGATCGTAATTTTGCGATTCGAAGGTTTTTCTTTCCCTTCATTTGTGAAACTTGTGTCAGGCTTCAAATATTTATTATTCAATATTATAGAATATTGAAATTCTCTGAACGGGTGATGATAAAGGATAAACGGTCCCCTTTTCGACCGATACGACAAGCAAACAAGCAAGCAAAAGCATCCTCGAACAAACGAATAGATATAAGTACGTGCGAAATAATTGACTTTGTGAAATTCTTATTTAATATGAAATTCTAAAAAGTTTTAAATGCAAATTAAATTCATTTTCAGTGTTTAAGTAAACATGAAAAAATTGTTATAACATTAAAATATCTTAGAAATTATAAAAAAAAAAAAAAAAAAAAAACAACAACAAAATTATTTAAGAAATGTTAAAAAAAATATATATATTAATTTATAAATAAAAAAACGTAATCGAAACGAATTGATTTAATACTTTTGGTTGAATTATACTCAAATACGATATAAGGAAAAGTGGGCGAACTCAAATATATAATTTAAAATTTATTTATTGCTTACGATTATAAGAAAAATGAAATGCCTTGTCTTTCCAAATTCCAAAAATTTTATTGCTATTTCATCCTTGAAATGAATCTTTAAACAAAAAAAGAAAAAAAAAAGATGCATACTTTGTTTGCTTAAAAAAAAAAAAAAGAAGAAAAGTAATAAATAAAATTGTCTTTTTTTCTAATTTTTTTTATTTTTTTTTTTTTTTATATTTTTTTTTATACCCAATTTTCATACATCATCCGGTATATGCACTCGTGCTGATAGTGTATACACAACAGTTTTGATTAATGATAATCAGTGAATGAAGTGACAACTAACAACCGTATAAACGTCGCATAATATTTATGTAATAAACATTTTGCTTATGGCCAAAAATTTGCAGCTATATGACTATATGACGCGCACATATGCGTATAAACAGAGAGTTTTTAAGGATTCCTATATTAACTTTTAGGTGAATATCTTCACACACGAACGAATATCGCAATAGCAAAACGCACACACGCAATCATTTATTTTGCTAAATGCAAACATTGCTTTGGAAATTTGCACACTCTACTTGAAACGAATTTTTTTTTAATTTTTATTTTTACGTTTAGAAAAATTTTAAAGGCACATATGATGTTTTCCGGTGATGATATGCCATCAAAATTATGTATATTTTTTCTAATGAATACATAGATAGATGGTGTGAATTACATTTTATAATAAGCGGGCAATTTTGGTCATATTTACAATTTTCAAATAGAATAAAGGTGTATACATACTGCTACATAACATATGGTAACATAAATATATGGTAACTCATAAAATTTATACATACATACATACATATATAGTAGTTTAGGTTACGGCAAGAATTTCTCCCAATTTAGATGATCATTAATCTATTTATATAGACGCCTGTATTTGTGAATGTGTCAAACATCAAATTAAAAATTCATGATACCTTAGTCAATAATAATAAATGAAAAACATAATGGGAAAAAATAATGAAAGACATTTTTCTACAAAATTCGATATTAGATTAATTGAATGCTTCTCTGAGATCTTGATATCCATTTTGTAGAACAATTTGTCAGGAATCTCAATATAGACCTCGGTTTCCGCAGTAACCTGATCATTTGATCCTAATTTCTTTTTCCAAGAGTGTTGCAAACAGATAATAATCGCTGGATAACCGATTTAAAAAATATATAGGAGGTATATGGGGTAGCAATTCACACTTGAATTCGTGAAATTTCGGCGGTGCACCGAATCACTACATTGATTTTTTTTTTTGTATTGTGAATAAACAACTGTACAAATTTGGAAAAAAAAGAAGGTCAAAAGTTCATGCTCAAATTTTCACACAAAATAGTGAATGCATCTTAAGGATGAATTTTTACAATCTCAGGTATCTCTAGTACCTTCAGCTTTCGTTGTCCGTACGACTTTAGTTGAAGTCGGAAAATCAGCAACAATTTGTTGTTTTCGACAGAGATTCGCTATTTTGTGACATTTATTGAGCCAACGCCGGTTTTAAACGATATTTTTTCCTATCAAGAAACTATTTTTAATCGAAACCAAAATCGCTATACTCCATAAGCTAATTGTTCAGAATGACATAAAGGTTTAAGCGGTTTAAGGATTGACAGCTTCTGAAAATAACATAAGCGTTTTGGCAGAAGAAGGTTAGAAACATCTTAGTTAGTGATCGACATACTAAATGGCTGCAAAGAAACGGAAATATCATGAAAAAGATTTCACCTATAGTAAGCACGCAATTAAAAAATAAAAATAGATACAAAAATAAATGAATAATTCTACGTACAAAAGATTTCATCACGCATACATACTCGTAATCAAGGTAAGATATGGAAAATGGATTTTTCCACATACGATCGTCCAATAAGTTAAGGACGTTGCCTATAACTAAATTCCGACCAGCTGGTCGTTTGTGTGATAAAGTAAAGAAAGGTGGATGCCACCAAGAAGTTGCAACCAGTTAATATGCTCCAATAGGTCACCCTAAGGTATTCTTTCCTTCAATATGACAAACATGAACATCTTTGGACATAACTTAGCCTATCAAGTGCCACGTCATTCATTCTCAAAAATATATTAACGAAATTAAGCCATTGTTCAAATGCAAAACTTCATAAGCGCAACGTCCAGATCCGTTTAAAAAATATCTTCAACAAAATTAATATTCAATACATATCAGGAAATCATTCAGGACAACTTATTTGAAATGTTGTTATATGCACGATACAAGGCGCAGTTATAATAAAGAAATTTTAGCCGCATTTGTGGCCTAATTTAATCGATTTTTTTTTAAATGGACAAAAATAACAATAAGACGAAAAAAATTAAGATTAAGCGTCTTCAGTTCATAAGCTTGATTTCAAATGGAACGCGGACGGAGGTCGTAAGCAATATCTATCTCCTTTACGATCCTAATTATTGGGCTTTCGTAATTATTGGAATTTTTGGCGTAAATTCTAACGCATTGCAAGCATTTGACGCATTCAACGCAAATCCCCAAAAAAAAGCATTATATGCGACCGAATCTCTTCTACCCATAATCTAAAAAGGGGTAAAAAAAAAGAAAAAACTCTAAATTTTCATACTCTATAATATAATATTAGCCGCCTGTGGGCTCACAAACATATCTAGAACAATGCAGATTTGTTTATATGTAAACTGCAAGTGGGCGTGGCTGAGATTGTCCACGTTTTTATAGATGTTGCACGACCGCCCTTCTAGTAGAAATGCAAATTTGTTCATTATAACTTTTGTGGTTTATAAGTAACGAGCAAACATCCAGATCTTTTTTTTTCGCAAAAAGAGATGGTTTCGCGTTATGTTATACTACGCTCGTGTTCTTTGATCAATTTGAATCAATTTCAATATGTACCCGCGTGGGTACATATTTCCAATCTTTCTTTTGTGCGAAATTTGAGACGACCGGGACAATATTTACTATAGACAACACAAAGCAACAGACACAGGGACAGACCGATGTGCTTGAATCGTTTTATAGTTCGATGGTAAAATCAAGAATTTACATACTTTATGGGGTCCATGAAGCTTCGTTCTGGCGCATTGCAAACGTTTTGCAAAATAAATATATACATACATATATAAAGATATATCGAAGGATGATGGGTGCAAAAATATAAACATTCACTATTGACCGGACTGACAGCTGAATAAGTTAACATAAATATGTGAATTGTTTTCATCATATTAAGCATTAAAAATGCACTCTCACATCTATTGATTTCTTAATCGATTTGAGATTTTTTGCGTACATGCGTGCATAGATATAGATATCCTTCTATCGAACGTTCGCATCAACCCAGATAAATATTGTATTTGCATTTTCTTTTACTTTTTCTATTGTTTTATAATTTGCATAACGAAACCATCGAAACTTTGCGAACAACTTCTGACATTTTATTAGTTTATATATATATATATGTATATATTTTTCTTTACCTGTATTGGGAAAAGGAAAAAAATTGTTTTTCTTCTTGTCAGATATATAATTATATAAAACGGACAGCTTTCAATCGAACGAAAGACAATGAGAATGACAGATAAGATAATTCGAAATTCGTGTGAGATAAATCTTGTAGATCCACCGTCTAAGCGAAATATAAATGATCTCCTCAGACATCCTAGTCGTACTTGTAAACGAGCAGTTATATCATATTATCCTGTATTCCCGATTGGATTTAGCGGTTTAGGTCGTAAGCATATGATGAAAATAATTGTTTTTAAATAAATTTTTTGGTTTTTCATTTATGGGTGAAGGAGCTTAGAAGCAAATCTTGATAATTTTTAAATTTATTTGTTTTGAAAATCGAACCAAAACTTATACACGTATACTTTTAAATCTCTATTTAAATTGTTGCTATTCTTGCCCAAAATTCTAGGAATGAGCGCGCAACCAGATGGATAAGTGGGACGGGCACAACTCAAACGAATTACGACTTTACGTTCATCCCATTGGTATTTTTGGATATAACAAAGAGGATCGTGGAACATAATAATTCCAAGTGATAAAATGTTACACGTAAATGTACTCAGAATCTTTTACAGTCCAAGAATACTTGAATTTTTTTTTTTTCATTGAAAGTTTAACATTTTCCTTTTTAAAAAGAAAAAGGCAAAAACTTGAAATTTGATTATATAAAGCAAATCGAACATTGCACTCTGCTCCTCACTGTATGTTTATTTTATATATTTTGTGTATAAACAACCTACAGATATTTAATGTCTAGGAAATGTTTAAGTAAAGTGTGCCGAGGCGCGGAAAACGCTAATGAATTTTTAATTCATTAAAAATCAAGATTTCACTTAATACCTACAAAAGTTTACTCACATTTGTTGCGCTAAGGAAAAAATTTATTTAAATTCGCTTTACCTTAAAAATGAGACGATTTAGGTAAACGCAATTCTTACGTAATAGCGGCAAATAATGAATAATCTAAATAACTGATTTCGTTAATTAAAATCAATATTTTGCCAATTTTGAAGTCGCAATATAAGGCACGGTTTATTTGAGGTCTTCGGCCAGAGATATGCATATATCTGTCACTAAAGAAGTCTTTTATTTTCGCAAAATCTACAAGAAATTTCGATTTTCGAATTACTCTCCATTTGCTCTAATATCAATTGATATGATTTTTTAAAGATTTGAAATTAGCGCCACTTTCGTACCCGTCGCCGAAGGATGACGGGTCACATTCATTTTGTGCAAACGTTTGCAATAACCAAATCAATCATCAATCAATGAAATGCTGAACCAATTTAAATATGTCCCTCTGTCTGTCCGTCAACGTAATATGTTTAGTAAGCATTTTCCTCGTCATAAAAATCAGCAACAATCGGCTTGAGATTTGGCATAAAGATTGAAAATTTCTGAACGCAGATATTAAACTTGAGTCAAATTGGTCGAAGAACGCAACCACGATGCAACATAACGTGAGACTACGTAAAAGAAATTTAAATTTTTACTCGCTATCGTACAGCTACAACAATGAAAAGTTCCGTTTATATATTAGGGACGGCTTTGAAACACGGGCACGTGGAAAGCGGAAAAAATCGCCCACGACTATCTAATATCGGTAGAATATGAAAATTTGATTCCCTTATCAACGGCAGTTTCAGACACCCTATAAAGCTTAGATATACTTGATTAACAAGTTTGTCAGTCTGTCTGTTCACATCTCTGTTAATTGCTGTGACGAGCGTACTGATAATCGCAAATCAATGCAGATGTTTGCTTCGCGTTTGGCAAAAGCCTAGAAAGTCGTTGAACGCCGGTTGATTTTGAAAGACTTTCGAATCGGTAAGAGGACTCGCCCACAGTGCAATATAAGCACTGAAGATTGAATTTTTACCCATAAACTGCACTTTTATTCTACAAAAATAGAAAAAATCAGCCACGCCCATGCAATATTACAGAGTATGGAAATTTAGTTTTGTTTTTTGTTTTTTTGATCGCCTTTTTTTGAGGATAACGGTAATGAGTACCAAAAATTCGGCTGCGATTTTCTTACTTGTTCGGCTTCTCTTGTTTGGCATGTTTGGCGTTTCTTTCGGTTTTAAAAGTAAATTCCGCACAATTGATCATTTCTCCCTTGCAAGTGACTTATTTCCAAACATTAAGTTAAAATTTAAAGACAAAAGTCTCAAGTAATCGTTTAATTAGCCAACAACCAAAGAGCAGGTTTCGTTCGATTTACTTTTCATTAGATTTGTGGTTAAAACTAAATGATGAAATTTTAATAGCAGCCAACAGCGTTTTATTGCTAGAATCATTGGGCAATTTTTTCCAGCTTAGCGTAAGTCAAGAAAATAAATAAAGCGATCGGCCGAACCGATCGATTTGAAATTTTTATTCGCTGATCCAGCCAGAAGTCGCATTTTTGTCATAGAACTTTAATATACGAACTAAACGATCGCAACGAACTAAAAATAGATATCGAAAAAATGTCAAGATGTACTGCCAGAGGTTTTGCTTAAGATTCGCTTCAATATTTTCTACATTATATTAGCATAAATTGAACATAAATATTTAACCATTTAACCAGTAACGAAAAGAAAAAAAAGTTGTGAAAACGAAATTAATGTAAAAACTATTAAAAATCAAATCAAACGACAAAAATTGAATGCAAACAATTTTAATATTTAATCATAAGCAATTAGCGGCTGTAAAAATCGAATTAACAGACACACAAACATATCATGTGAAAAACATCATAGCTCATATAATCTCGTTATCGCCCTCTTTAATTTTTTTCATATATATTGAAATGAAAAATATGAAAAATATGGAAAAAATGAAAAATGCAACCATAATACAGTTTGAAAAGGCGTGTAATTGAAATATTGAGAATTAACAAATGCATATTATGGCATTATGGAAATATAGTAAAGCGGTATCTTGTTAAGGCGATTTGACTTCTTGTCAAAGCCAACGCTTGAAAAATCACAAAACTTCCGTTGACTAAGACAACTAGAAAAAGCAAAAAAAAAAAAAAAAAAACAAAAAAAATGAAACACAAAGTTAAACGGGCGCGCAAGCGCATACTTACATACACACAAATAATGCACGAGATGTGTACAAAAAGCACGTAACCCACATAAATTTTTTTCATTAATTAAACGCTTCATATATATATATGAATGAGACCCTTTAACAAAGCAGTTTCCGATGAATTCCATCGATTGAATTAATTGATAAAAATATAAATTAGCTGTAAAATGCTGTCGCCCACCTTTAAATAAATACCTTTCCTAGGCTTAAATTGTTTTGTACCGCTTTATTAACGATCGCGATGCCATTACCGCTACTAGCGATCAGTTTGTTGTTGATCAGGCGCATTTAAAATTCGTTTTTAACTTAACTTAATGTTTAATCAGTAGTTTTTTTTTTTTTTTTTTTTTTTTTTTT